ATGTTGTACTTGATTTTCCGGCATTCCGAAGTCCATTGGTTCCAAGTCATTGAAGAGACTGCCTGTAATAAACCAATTCATAAAAAAATGTCTCGATTAAGACCTGGTGCATCAAGATTTAAGAGATTCCCGTCAGCTGTTTGCATCTCAAAATCTTCCGCTCCGAAAATGTTCACATTTTTGGGTTGACCATCATAGAGTTCAGAAGTATTGTTAAGGTTTCTAAATCATTTAAAATTCAATTGCAAATGCTAAAATATAACCTTGAAGCATTGATCAAGCGACCACTTTCATCACGACGTTGTTCCAAAAGAGATCCACCAAACAATGGCTCATCGATGTTGAAGAGCGGTCCTCTTTGAAGCTGAGATTCGCCAAAATCGTCCATCTACAAATAGGAGTTACATTTAATGAATGACTTCGTGAATTTACCCCAAAATCAGCTCCAAATGCAGTTTGATGTGCCTTGTCGTAAATCTCGTTAAGTGTAATTTCTTCATAACGGCTCTAAAATTAATTAATACTAACAACAATTCGCAAGAACCTGGTTTGTGTCAAATTGAGTTTGGAAATCCAAGTCGTCTAGCTCGGGAATCGCCGCATCAAGATTTGCGTATACCTGAATAATCAGATATTTGAAGAACAAATATAACAATGTTTGCTAAGTACTTCCAAAGAGTTCTAGCTCAAACCTCTGGCAAAGTGATGGCTTCTAGATGAATCTCTTGTTCCTTATCGATTACAACCGTCTCAACCGATTGTCCGGGTCGGAATGTCATCCGAAGTCGAAGAAACGTTTCGTTGCAATCAGCGAGTAGGTATTTGGTTTTCCTCGAGTAGATCCTCACAATGCCCAACAACAAATGACCTGTGGTTCGTAGAGCAATTTTCACCTAAAGTAGGTAAATAAGTTTTGGTTGACAGATAAAAATATCCCCTTAATGTATAATAAAAGTTAAAGAAGTGTTAGGTTTTTATATGTTGCATCGTTTCCAAGTATAAGGTACACTTCTTTGGATTTTTAGTATTAAAACGCTTTGCTCGCAAAATAGGTTATGCATTAAAAAGGTGAAAAGTCCACCATCTCAAACAAATCTTAATTAAAACAAAGTTAACCCTTTGGTTCCACGCATGTAACCAATTTACTGCTGCAAATTATCACTTGGAAACCGTTTACTCAAGTCTTACAATAAAATACGAACCTTTGGCTTGAGTATTTCGTCAACAGCCTCCTCGACATCGGTTTCGTAGATTTGCGCTTTCGTCAGCTTCTTTTCCCAATGTGCCGCCAACCAGATTTTCGCCAACGGGCCCTTCTTTGCGAGCACGAATTGTGCATAGAACATGATCTAAATAAATAAACTGTAAAAATTGAAAGTTAAAACGGATCAACTAATCTCCAGTATCGGGGAAGGGGGCAATTTTTCTCTTTTTTTATGTTTTTTTTTAGTTTCATTCTTAATTTTCCATTTTTTCTAATGTTAACTAGTTTAGGCTTCTTTTTATCTACTTTAACAGGAAAAAAGTGAGACATACATACACCTCGTTTTCTCTTTTTCTGCTTGTAATTACGAAAATTTAGTATTCAACCGACTAGAGTAGACTAGAATTTAATAAAAATTTAGTGGGATTTACTATTTTAATAGATATTTATCCTAAAAGTTAGTATATCCCACAAGATTTTGTAGTAAAAGTTAGTAAAACTAGTGGGGAAAAGAGGGGTACGAGAGGTGTCCCCTGTTTCTACACTTTTTTTCCTGTTGGAGTAGATAAAAAGTAGCCTAAACTAGTTAACATTAGAAAGAAAATTTAAATAATCATGTAAAACAGAAAAGTAGTGAAAAGCATAGTGGAAAAATTAAGATACTGGAGTAGGATCCGTTAGAAGGAAAATGGGAAAGACAAAAAGATAAAATTTTCCCTAGAATGATTCTTTATTGCTAGCTTAGAAAAAAAAACTAAAAACGGCAAATACGAGTCGGTTTTTTTGTTCTTTTTTCAGATGTGATCTAGCCATTTAAACAGATGTGATTGAAACAGATTAAACAGATTAAACAGCCTAAACAGATGTGGTCGAGCCATTTAAAGTTTCTTGTTATAACGCGAGATAAAATTCAACCCTTTCATAATTGATTTGCCCTTTAACCCTTTTATGACTGAATGAGCCTAAACGCGGCCTTTTCCCGGGCAAACATTAGTGCGGGTTACGGTAGAATGACCGTGGATTAGGGTCCAGTTTCTTTAGTGCTTTAGGTTTTAGGGATGTGATGTGGTGGTGTAGAGCTGGTGTAAAGTGAACTTGCTTATAGTTAGCGATCAAATTAGTGCCAAATCGAAACACAGATAAGCTGAACATTCCACTTTTGCAATTATTTGTCGTACTTTCTTACCATAATCTATTTTCTATTCTGCACTAACTTTAATGGGTGAAAATTTCGAAAACTTTTACTACAAAAAAATTTTTCAAATTTTTATTTTCAAATTTTCTACTCAAATTTGGTTAGAATTGCCCTAAATTATTTCAGGACTCTAAATTATTTCAGAAAAAGTCTTTTTTTTGGACAGGAAAAGGCTCATTAAGCTTCTTTTGAGCTCTTCTTGTAGGAACATGTGAGATCATGTGAGCAGTGAGATCGCTATAGTACACTATAGCGATGGCGACTTGAAGCCTTTAAAAGCCGTTCTAAAACGCATTTCTCCAAGCTTCCACTATGAAATTCGTAATCTACGCGAAAAAACTGCCCTAGAAAAAGCAATTTTGAAGAAAAAAAAGTTGCCTTCTAACCTCGCAAGTATCCAAGAGACTTTTGCAGTTTATGAATTTGTATTTATTTATATGGGGGTGGGACAAATGCGACCTTTTTTTGCGCACCTGGACATTTGTGCACCTTTTTTTTGCTGGAAAATGCCTTAGGCAAGGCCGTAGAGCTTCAAAAATGTTTTCATGGAGGGGAATCGTATGCGTAGATTCCGAATTTCGACAAATCAGACCTCGCTGACACGCCAAATTTGGGCTAAAAGGCGAAAACTACGCAACTTAACGCTTTTCCGCAGTTTTTTCCTTTTAGCCCAAATTTGACGTGTCAGCGAGGTCTGATTTGTCGAAATTCGGAATCTACGCATACGATTCCCTTATATGGAAACATTTTTGAAGCTCTACGACCTTTCCTAAGGCCTTTTCCAGCAAAAAAAAGGTGCACAAATGTCCAGGTGCGCAAAAAAAAGGTCGCATTTGTCCCACCCCCTATTTATATATTATTTACTTATTTATACTTACTTATACTTATTTTATTGATAAATTTATACGTACGCAATTTCAAAAGTTGCCTAAAGACCTCGTTTTCTAAAAATTTGCGCAACTTTCTCGGGACAATCAGATAATATCGAAGAATGATTCATTACCAAGTATCGGGAAAGAAAAGAGAGCTCTAACTTGATGCTTTAGATAAGTTTTGACATTAGGTGGTCAAGTTTTGACAATTCTGAAAAGGGATTGCTAGGTTTTCGTTCAAAATTGTCAACACACCCTTTCTGGCACACCGAATTACGTTTACGCGAGAAAAATTAAGGTTATCGGACATTAAGGTTATCTGATATTAAGGTTATCGGACATTAAGGTTATCGGACATTTGATAGGAGCCCTGTCCCTTTTGCCATTGGCAATCTAACGTTAAGCTCGAATTTCTTGGTGTTGGGCTGTCCAATTTATATATTCTTGATATAATTAGATAAGTCAAGTCTTTCTCTATCGATTGATACAAAAACTATTTAAATTGCACAGCCCAACACCAAGAAATTTGAGCTCAAGGTTGGATTGACAATGGGAAAGGGGCGGGGCGGGGTGACCTTTTATAGGTTTTCAAAAGGTTATAACTTTTTATAGGGTTGATCAATTTTTATGCTTTTGGTATCAAAAGATAGAGAAAAGCCCGTAGAATAAAACTTGCGTTTTACATTTTTGTTTTAGGCTTTTGTTTCCAAAATTTTGCTCCGACAATAAAATATGGCTGAAATTTAACACAGTAAAATCACTAAAACTCGATTTTTAAAAAATTTGTCGAAGGGATTTCAAAAATTCTTTTATTTTCGGATTCAGCACATTTGGATTGACAATGGCAAAGGGTCGGGGCGCGTATAAAATGTCCCACAATAAGAAATGAATGCGTTTACAATTTCGAGCACAAAGTACATTGGCAGAGCAAGAGATAAATGCAACGAAAGCTTTTTTTCAGCTTATAACCAAGGCAAATTTTTCCGACAATGCGCTGATTGTCACTACACATTCCACGCACATTTCTTTTCCCCCGTTTCCCCCATTTCGCGCAGATCACTTTCTTTTTCGATCGGATCACTCACACTCATCACTATCAATTTCTCTGTTTTCTACATCATATTATCGGACTCTCTCATCTCACAAACGAGACACCGAGACACATCGATTCTCCCCCACCAATTTTCCATCAAAAGATCCATTAAAATTTTTGTCTTACCCCATTTCACCACAATTTTCACTAAGCTACGCAAAATGACCGACTAGACAATTGACTGGTTTGTTTGATTTCAATTTCAATTATTATTTACCTGTAATTTACCGGTATTTCAAATCCTGTAACCCCACTCCCGTGGACGGTCGCGTAGTCGCAAAGTACAGTGTACAGTCGCGTAGTCGCATTTTTTTCGTATTTTATTTTTTTCAAAGCGCTGGTAGTTTGAAAAAAATGTGTCTTTGATATCAAAAATAGCCCTGAATTTTAGCTATTTAGCTATTTTAGCTTTTTTAGCTTTTTTAGCTTTTTTTGATACCTAAACGTGCATTGTAGCATAAATCAGTGTCGAGAAAAACTCGTTCAAAGCTAGACTACGCAACGCTTCTCACCGTCATTATTGAAGTGGTGTACTATTACAGTATTTCCATTATTTACAGTGTGATAACAGACTTTGTCAAGTCAATCTCTTAGTCAATCTCTTCAATTTTAAGCCTTCATTTTCTCTGCTGAAGAATGAGCAGCAACTCGGCGATTCTCGGAATGGAGGAGGAGGACATGCTAAGACTTGATCTCCTCACAGCCACATCTGAAGGAAACTATCCGAAGGTTTGAGAAGGATTACCGTATCAAAAGACAAATCTATAATTGCCCAGCTCTCTTCGGACACACCCAAACCGTTCCTGTTAGCTTTCTTTCTTTCGAATGACTAAAATTACCGTAGCCCATGTTAAGCCGTGCCTTTTTAAAAAAGGAACTAAAAGTCGGATTCCCCATAGCCGAAAACCCCCGGGAGGAAAATATCGCGCGCAAAAGCTGAATACTTTAGCTTTAGAGTAAACGGAGCACCGCGCTAATTACGTTTGTGCACAGACAGACAGACAGACAGACAGACAGACAGACATACAGACAGACAGACAAACGTCTCTTCTGCTTTATATATGTCGTAGTCGTTTACGAATGAAATGTTTAAATGTAAATTTGTATTCCAATTTGATCTATGCTATTCAACTGAGTTTATCGTGTTTTTGATTTGAAAATATTTATGCAAAACGGAAAAGAAATGATGTCTCTTGAGAAGGGACATCATAAGCAAAGAAAAAAAATTGTTTTTGGCCGGTTCAAAATGATTTCGAGTGAGCTTAAATGTTAGTTAAATGAATAAAATTTAATCTATTGGGTTGGTGAGTTGAGAACTGCCGGACTTTGAACTAAAATTTATTCAACATAAAACCATCAATTCATTTCAAATAATTTCCATTATTATTGACGACTTCTGCCCATTTTACAGGCAATTTGCGGATTCCTCTTTCGTAGTAGGATTTTGGTTTGTGTGTGAGACAAGTGTGAGACTCAAAAATCGAGGACTGGAGATGTCGAGATGTCCCAGTTTGAGCACTTTCTTCAAAAGAAACCCATTTTGGTGTCAATAGAAAAGTTGTAGAGAATCAAAAATTAGGCTTATAGCCAAATTTCCAAAAAGATACACTTAGTAGTTTCGCTTAAAATGCCAATTTTGTTGCAAGTTTTGTGAAAATTCGTCAATTTGGCATTTCTTGAAAACCAGTTTTTGAATCGTTCTGAAAATTTGGATATAAGCTTAATTTTTGATTCTCTACAACATTTCCATTGACACCAAAATGGGTTTCTTTTGAAGAAAGTGCTCAAACTGTCACATATGACAATAGTCCGCAGTTTTCAATTCACAACCCAATATATTGACTATTTAAACGATCATTTGATGAAGAATGAAATTACGCATTGAATGACACCAAAAACAACTTAAAATATAATATTCATGCAAAATGAAATATTCGTCAAAATACGGCTGAAAAAATGCCCGTACAGTAAGGCAGACAGAAAGACAGACAGAACGTAACCCCCCCCCCCCACACACTGTGAAAATTCGTCAATTTGGCATTTCTTGAAAACCAGTTTTTGAATCGTTCTGAAAATTTGGATATAAGCTTGATTTTTGATTCTCTACAACTTTTCCATTAACACCAAAATGGGTTTCTTTTGAAGGAAGTGCTCAAACTGTCACATATGACAATAGCCCGCAGTTTTCAATTCACCAACCCAATAGTTAACTAACTTTTACTGTAAAACTCCATTCTTGGTGCCAATCTGATATAAACTGTCCTCCGAAGACCAAAAACCAAAAAGAGACGAGTTGATCGAATTTCGATCGATCAACAACATCGATTTTAGAGACGAACAGTCATTCCAACTTCAACTTTGGCCCATTTAACTCAACTTTAGCTTATCCACTTCAACTTTAGGTCATCGTTAGTAGATACGTTACGTTACGTAAGTAGACACGTAGATAAGTTCGCTGCTTCAAGACTTGATACGCGTCAAGTTGGTTGAAAAAATCCTAAAAAAACGAATGAGTATGCATAAAATTAATCATCAAATCAAAAATCAATAACCAATTACTATCAATCAATCAAAACAATCAATAATTAACAATAATCAAAAAAGAATAACCAGAAAAAGCAAAAAACTCAACTTTAGCGATAAGCTAAAGTTGAGCTCGACTTTAGGTCATCGTTAGTAGATGACTGGAATTACCGGCTGCTGGCACCAGACTTGCCCTCTCATTGATCCTCGTTAAAGGGTTTAAATTGTACCCATTTCGATGACTGTTCCCAGAGGGAGCAGTCTCGTTAGTTGTTGTCACTCCTTGAATTGAGAGTGGGTAATTTGCTGTCCCAGTTTGAGCCTGCTGCCTTTCTTGAGATGTGGTTGCCATTTCTCAGGCATCCTCTCCGGAGTTAAACCCTGATCCTCCGTTACCCATTACGACCATGGTAGTCAACTAAACTACCATCGCTTCTTAAAGTCTTGATACAAAACCAAGAACGAATGAAAACGAATGAATATCTAATAAATAAAAAAGACAAAAAGAAAAATGAATCCCAAATCATTAATAAAATGTTGCAAAATTTGCATTTAAACATTTCATTCTAAACGACTAGCCGATTATGAATGATTTCGTAAACGGCTAGTGAAAAAATTTCATTTGTAAACGGCTTTATTTCGTAGACGACTACGACATACACTACTGGACAATCGTCAAAAAAGATCGTCACTTTCGCGCGTCTGTAACTCCCTTGTCTTTACCGTATTTCTAAATATTAATATTACCATTGTGTAACCCTTGAAAAGAGCTTTCAGAAAATGTATAACACTAATAGTTTTGAACTCAAAGACAAGGGAGTTACAGACGCGCGAAAGTGACGATCGTTTTTCAAATATGATATTTCATTGTCCAGTGCTGTATATAGTAGATAGAGCGTTGAAGAGGATTTCTAGACTAGGCTTAGGTTTCAAAGAATTTAGAGTCAATCCTCGATGAATATGTTTTCATGAAGTGCGTAATAGTTAATCCACAATCAATTTTATCAATACTAACTTTACTTTAAGCAAAAATTTGTGACTTTAGGTGAAAAAGTTGCTCGATTTGGGCGTACCGGTTGACTCGCACGATGACGATTTTGTGACTCCATTGCAAATAGCTGCTGCTCTTGGGGATAATTGGATGGTGAGTATCGGAAATTTGAATTTACACTTTTGTGCTTCATTAAGTGGTGCTTTGTGCTAAACACAACTTTGTGCTAAACTTTTTTCCACAACTCACCATAACTTTCTTCGAAGTGGGCGTATCATTATGATTTGAATGTCCAGTACTGTATATAGTAGATAGAGCTTTGTAGAGGATTTCTAGAACAGGCTTAGGTTTCATTTGATCTACAAAATGACACCAAAATTGGCTCATAAAGATTGGCTTACTTTGAAGAAAGTTATGGAGAGTTGTGGAAGAAAAGTTTAGCACAAAGTGCGGACCACTTAATGACCACTTAATGAAGCACAGAATGTAAGTTAAAATTTACAGATTTACCTTTATTGTGGTCTTTATAGTGGTCACTTTTAATAAACTCGCGTTTAATCGATGCGTTTAATCGATGCGTTTAATCGATGCGTTTAATCGATGCGTTTAATCGATGCGTTTAATCGATGCGTTTAATCGATGCGTTTAATCGATGCGTTTAATCGATGCGTTTAATCGATGCGTTTAATCGATGCGTTTAATCGATGCGTTTAATTAAAGCGCAAAGTAAACGCATTCTATACAGACTGTTATTAAGTCTGTATAGAATGTGATTGTGACAAAGATTGTGTGCTTTTTTTAAAAGTTCAAGTGTTATTAAGCTTAAGAATGTTATAAACAAAAAGATAAACAGATAAATAGATAAACAGATAAACAGATAAACAGATAAATAGATAAAAGATAATGTTTAGGTTTCCACCTTCATCGATATTGGCGCTAGCATTGATTCATGTAATCAAGTGAGATTTTGAACAGATCTTTTTTCCTCAAAACATTAAATCAATTAACATCTGAAGGCCTGGGTGTTTCCTTCTCCTTCTTCCTTGTCTTTCTTATTTCTTCAAGAGGAAATCAGGTGCCGATAGCTCAGTGGTAGAGTGTCTGACTGGTAAGCAGAAGGTCAGCGGGAGGGACCGGGGTTCAGTCCCCCTTGATTTTTCTTCTCCTTCTTCCTTGTCTTTCTTATTTCTTCACGGCGAAATGAAGTGCAGATAGCTCAGTGGTAGAGCGTCTGATTGGTAAGCAGAAGGTCAGCGGGAGGGTCCGGGGTTCAATTCTCCTTGGTTCAAAATTCTTTGCCATTTTATTTCTTTATCTTTTAAGACTCTTCTTTAGAAGAGAAAGACTTTATTTATTATTATTATTATCCTTTATTAAAGGTTCTCAATTCTATTTCCAGGTGGGTATGACGGCTTTTCATCACGCTTGTCGAGAGGGTCGTCTAAATGTGATCGAAACCCTACTGCAACGTGGGGCTGACATTCACAAATTCACGTAAGTGTTTGTTAGTGTTTCATTCATTTCAATCATTCATTACATTCTTCACTGCATTAGGTTTTGTAAACCTATAACTAAACTAAACTCTAGCACACATGTCATAAACTGTTTATGTTTATGATCGCCATTGATTCTGGCGGTTGTTGGGTCGAGTCCTGTACTAGAGAGTACTATTCTGGCGGTTATTGGATCGAGTCCTGTACTAGAGATGTTTATGTCATACTTTGACACCTAACTTACTTTGACAAAGCTTTTCCCCTAGTGTACTTTATGCTTGAAACGCACCATTTCTAGCGCACTGCTAAAAGGAAGGAGAATTAAGTAAACCGAGTGTTTTTCAATGTAAAAACATCGTATATTTCAATTCTCGATTTTCAGCTTCCTTGGAGCAACCGGCTTAACCCTAGCGACAGCAGGAGGTAAACGAGATTTCATCTCTCATTGAAATCACTTTAAATCTAATTTATAAAGTACTATTTTCATTTAGGCCATCTCGATGTAGTGAAGAAACTTGTCGGTTTACATTTGGAAGTCTCGCCAAAACCCTACGGACCGACGCTCACAAACTCTTTCTGTCCATCGCCATTGATTGTGGCGGCTGTTGGGTCGAGTCCACAAATTTGCGGCTATCTAACATCCAGGTGGGGTTTAAAGATAGATGGATAAGTTTAAAGTACTGGATAAAGATACTAGATAGATCGATAAGTTTAAAGTACTTTAACCCTTAAAGTACTGTGATCCTAGTACTAAATAAGAAACAAGAACCCAGAATCCAGAATCCAGAATCAAGAATCAAGAATCAACAATCCAGAATCCAGAATCCAGAAACAAGAATCAAGAATCCAGAATCCAGAATCCAGAATCCAGAATCAAGAATCCAGAATCCAGAATCCAGAATCAAGAATCCAGAATCAAGAATCCAGAATCAAGAATCCAGAATCCAGAATCCAGAATCCAGAATCCAGAATCAAGAATCCAGAATCCAGAATCCAGAACCCAGAATCCAGAATCAAGAATCCAGAATCAAGAATCTTTTAGAGGCGCTCCTGTGGATGAGGTGTTGGCACCATTGCTCAATTTGACCGCACTCACATCGGTGATTCTCTGCTCTCGACCTGAAAGCTCTTACAACACGATTGTTTCTGCGTTACTCGATTTGGGTAATATTTTTCGAATCCTGATCTGTGCTTTACGTTTTTTAGCATAAAATTTCAACATTTAGCATAAAATTTCAACGTTTAGCATAAAATTTCAAATTTCAGGAGCAGATCCAACTCGGCGAACATTTCGAAACGGAAAATCAGCAATCGAGTTAGCAGATGATTTGAAACGAGAGGAGATCCTATTGAATCTTTACGACAAAAATCGAATTCGACACGGTTTGTCAAAGGAGAAATTGGAGGATATTGAAGAAAGGATAGGAAGGATTTCTTCAAGAATAGGAAGGATTTACTCAAGAATAGGAAGATTTCATCAAGAATAGAAAGATTTCATCAAGAATAGGAAGGATTCCCTCAAGAATAGGAAGGATATCCTCAAGAATAAAAAGATTTCATCAAGAATAGGAAGATTTCATCAAGAATAGGAAGGATTTCTCACTAGTGAATGGTGTTAAGTTTCGAGTGAGACCCACAGTGAGACCTACGTATTTATTGCAACTTCTTTTTTGGTTGTTTAGCTCGCCAAGTTCAACCCTAACGTTTTAAGTGTTATATAAAAATATTGAAGCCCATAATCTTGCCTACATTTCTCTCTTAAAAGTTTCCCCGATTGAAGATGTAGAAATGATTTTACAAGCTCTTGAACTGCACTAGTTGATCCCTCTCCGGAACGCTGTCATTTTTCGTGCTTTTCTTGAAATTCTTCAATCAAAAAGAGTTTCTTTTGGTTAAAAACAATTCTTAATAGTGTTAAATAATATTTTATTAAAATAATAATAAAATAAATATCAAAAAAACAGTTTCTGATCTCGATCCTTCTCTTAGATCTCGCTCAGCCAACCGATTTCCGGCAACTTCTCCGCGAGAACGCGCTCGATCAATTACCCGAAGCGCTTCAAACAAAGGTTTGTTATAAAGCTTAAAAGCTTATATCTAATATAGTCACTTATCTAATAATTATCTTCAAAATCATTATTTAAATCTCAGTTATTGAAATTAGAGAATTGAAATTAGACAACTGAAATTAGACAATTGAAATCAGACAACTCAAATCAGACAACTCAAATCAGACAACTCAAATCAGACAACTCAAATCAGACAACTCAAATCAGACAACTCAAATTAGACAACGAATTTGCCGGATGCGATTACTCCATTGATGTGGGCGGTTGCGGTGGGAAGTGCACAGGGAGTAAGTAAAAAAATTGATTCAAATTTGAATGCTATTTTCTAATAGACAAACCTTTCTAATCTTTCTAATATCCTAATATTTCTAATCTGCAATTGTAGGCAAAATTTTAAAGGTTTACAAACTGTTGGAGATGCGCTACAATGTTGACGCACAGGAGACAAAGTATGGGTACTCAGCGTTGATGTTGGCCGCCTTTTTGAGGTCAGCTTTTCGAGTACCGTAATCATTGCCGTAATCTACCGTAATCTACCGTAATCCGTCGAATATTCGCCCAATATTCTGTCCCACTTTTTGCCTCCATTCTATTTCATTTGCAATAGACTCAAATTTCAAAAAACCTTAGCAAAATGATTGCTTGTTTTGTACTTGTTTTGTACTTGTTTTGTACTTGTCTTGTACTTGTTTTGTACTTGTTTTGTACTTGTTTTTATCCGCTTTTCAATGTGACTAAGCTAGAGTTTAGATCTGCTATATTCTGCTATATTCTGTTATATTCTGCTATATTCTATTATATTCAGCTATATTCTGTCATATTTAAAGAATCCAAAACTCCTTTCAAAAAGTGCACAAATCTTCTTTAGAGAAGACGAAATCGTGGATCTCCTCCTGGAGATGGGCGCCGGTGTGGAAAGAACTGAGCCGAACACATTACACCAAACTTCTTATGATCTCTACCTTACAGCTACAGGTGTTGAAAAAGTTATTTAAAGTTTTAAGAATCAAAAGAATAGATGATATGGAGAGAATCACGGTATTTGCAGAATTTTCAGTACCCAAGTTGCCAACCAGCAAAGCCAGGGTGGATCGGTTTTGATCCAAAAATGCTTTTGCAACAATTCTGACTAACAGGGGAATGGTGGCCAAATGGTGGCCAAATGGGGCTAAATGTAGTGGCCAAATGGTGGCCAAATGATGGCCAAATGATGGCCAAATGGTGGCTAGATGTGGTGGCCAAATGATGGCCAAATGGTGGCCAAATGTGGTGGCTAAATGGTGGCCAAATGGGGCTAAATGTGGTGGCCAAATGATGGCCAAATGTGATGGCTAAGTGTGGTGGCCAAATGCCATGCGCCTAATCCTAACCGACGCAGAATTTCACGCCGATTCCGAATCGGTTTCCCGTTTTTGTCACGCAGCACTCTATCAAAAGTTATAAGCGCTCAAAGTTTTCTATCAAGAAAACAAATCTTGAGCATATAAGTTGAAGGGAAAAGATGTCGTGATGGCCGAATGGAAATTAGCTTGAATACGAAGAAACCCCGTGTCTGTCTTTTCTTTTTGCTTCTTTTAAGTTTGAATGGTTTGAGTGTTCCTATGTGCGCTCACAATCGTACAGCACCTGGCACACCGTTGTTCTGGATACAGCCAATGATACAGCTCTCGATACAGCCAATCCAACATCGCCAAAACACTCAAACCATTCAAAGTGAAAAAAGCAAAAATGAGGGTCAAACCCCGGACTCGAACCCTAGGGTCTCTGCCTCTAATCCAGACCGCTACCACTCGGCCATCACGACATCTATTGCCCTCTGGTAAATCGACGAGAAAAGGTCGAGGGGATTGAACCCTCAGCTTTTGCTTTCCGGAGCTCTAACCACTGAACTATCCGGTAGCTTAACTTGGCAAGAGAAAGAAGGAAAGACAAGGGGGAAGAAGAAAGAAAGAAGGAAAGACAAGGGAAGAGAATAAAGAAAGAAGGAAAGTAATTCCTCGCCGCCAATCGTAAACTAGCCTTGGTTTTTGGCTTAAACAGTGACGATGAAATGAATTTACGATGACAAGTTCCACAAAAATTAAAACAAAAATCTTTCCTTTTTCAGAAGACACCCTTCCGGAGATCCGAGCTCGTCTCCATCGCTACAAACCAAAAGAGAAAAGTTTGAATCGAGGGAAAAGCAAGAAGTTCTCGACATCGGGATCGAAGACCTTGTTGAAAAGATTTGGACAAATCACGCAAATGGTTTCAAGCCATTTAATTCTTACAATTCTTGCTTTAAGATGAGCAAAACGAAGAACCAATTGGGACTCTCGGATCCACAAGAAGGAGCAAGTCATATCAATATGAGGGATTGGACAGAGAATCGGATACAATCGGCGCTGGTTGATGGAAGGAATCATCGGGTTTGTGAAAATGAGTACTGGGAACAAGCCTCATAAGGCTTCTAAGCTCTAGCACTCAACTCCTAAGCCTTCTAAGCCCTAGCATTCAACTCCTAAGCCCTCTAAGCCCTAGCACTCAATTCCTAAGCCTTCTAAGCTTTAGCACTCAACTCCTAAACCCTCTAAGCACTAGCACTCAACTCCTAAGCCTTCTAAGCTCTAGCACTCAACTCCTAAACCCTCTAAGCACTAGCACTCAATTCCTAAGCCCTCTAAGCACTAGCACTCAACTCCTAAGCCTCCTAAGCCCTAGCACTCAACTCCTAAGCCCTAAATGTAGGGAAATACCCATAAGCTTTGGTTTCGGTCCTGACTTCTTCTTTGGTGAAGAAACGGCCTTTGATTTGATATAATTTCGCACGGCACCGCTTGCCCCAAATCTTTTGCGATTTTCCTTATTGAGTTTGCTTCACCTCCCATCTACAAAAAATCTTCAAATCTTCAAAAACGCTAAATGCTTCTCGCGCATCAATCTAACCTTTCTCATCAGCGAGCTTTTTTTGCGATTTTCCTTATTGAGTCGCCAATCCTCAAACGGGCATCAATCTGGCCTTTATCATAATCCGTGAGCAGCTTTCCGTTTGCCATTTACCTGGAAATTAACAAAAATTTGAAATATAATAATAAAATATGCATCACAAAAGGAAAACTTTTAAACAAAGTGGGCTTAAGAGTTTGAAGCGCAGGGAAAAAGAACCAATCTAGCATTGAACCCTTGACCTTCCAGCTAAGATACAAAGCTCTTGGTCAGTCGATCATAGTGGCCAAATGGGAGCGTGCTCATTCTTTGAAGTTTGCGTTAACGTTAAGACTTTGAGAGAGTCCCTAAAAGTTTCTAAATTCTAGAAGCTTGTCCGCGTCGAGCAGATCCTTCACCGTTTGCGTCACATCTCTCCACCTATCACAAGGAGTCTCGACAGCGATTTTGAGGCGGTTCGAAGTTTGGCGGCGGTGAGTAATTAGTAGAAAAAGACAGACAGACAGACAGACAGACAGACAAACAGACAGACAGACAGACAGATTACTGTAGCTGATACTTTGGATATTCGATTACTTCTCAAATGTACTAAATCGAAAGAAAGTTCAGGAAAACGCCACTTTCGCTTTGACGACTTTCTACGATCACTACAGCGAGACGCACATCGAGCGTCGTGTTGAATCCGAGCCAACTAGTCTCGAGTATGATGTGGCAATGAAATACGCTAAAGAATATGTCAGTGATATGAAAATAGGTTATATTTAAGATGATCTATTAGACTAAAAGATCTATTAGATTTTTTAAAAGCTTAGAAACTAATTTAAAGCTTAGAATCTAGTTAAAAGCTTAGAATCTAGTTAAAAGCTTAGAATCTAGATTAAAGCTTAGAGTCTAGTTGAAAGCTTAGAATTTAGTTGAAAGCTTAGAATCTAGCCTAAAGCTTACTAGCTTCAGCTTAGAATCTAGCTTCAGCTTAGAATCTAGCTTAAAGCTTAGAATCTAGCTTAAAGCTTAGAATTTAGCCTAAAGCTTAGAATCTAGTTAAAAGCTTAGAATCTAGCTTCAGCTTAGCATCTAGCTTCAGCTTAGAATCTAGCCTAAAGCTTATAATCTTATAGAGCTAATCTTATAGAGCTATGATCGAGGCAAAGAGAAACCACAAAGAATGGTGGTTAAACCAAGAGCTTTGCCAACTCATTTGCTATATCATCGAAAGGAAACGATCAGTTCTGGTGAGTAGTTAGAGATTTATGAAATCTTAGCACTGTAGAAGGTTGAGATACTTTTAAAGTACAGATAAAGTTAAAGTACAGTACTGTACAGTCCTTTTAAAGTACAGTTAAAGTACAGTACTGCTTATCTATTAGCTTTAACATTTGGAATAATTTAACAGGATTTACAAGATTATAGTAGTCAGCAATAGTCAGCAATAGTCAGCAACCTTACTCAGTAAAGCTGTTAACGACTACGCGACTGTACGCAGCTGTACGCGACCGTACGCAACTGCACGCAACTGTACGCGCAAAATACAGTGAATTTGCTACTATTACACTTTGATCAATTCCAGATCGTCGCCCGCGCTCAATCGTCGGTTATCCGGATGGTCAAAGTCCGACTTTTTCTCTCAGAACCACTCCAAGAATGATCAAGGTTGGTTTTCGGAAGAAAAACTTTCAAAGAAACTCCACAGAAATCCCGGGATTCTTTGGTGTTGGATGGGATGAATGGTACGAGCGATGGATCACCGGGGAGAGCCTCTCTACACGCGAATTTCCTCTTTCCACCGTCTGGTGATTATCAACAGCACATGCGAAAGTTGGTTGCTGAATTGCTGAATTGTTGAATGCTGAATGCTGAATGCAGAATGCTGAAGGCTGAATGCTGAATGCTGAATGCTGAATGCAGAATGCTGAATGCAGAATGCTGAAGGCTGAATGCTGAATTGCTGAATGCTGAATGCTGAATGCTAAATGCAGAATGCTAAGTGCTAAATGCTGAATGCTGAATGCAGAATGCTGAATGCTGAATGCAGAATGCTGAATGCTGAATGCTGAAGGCTGAAGGCTGATGGCTGAATGCTGAATTGCTGAATGCTGAATGCTGAATGCTAAATGCAGAATGCTAAGTGCTAAATGCTGAATGCTGAATGCTGAAGGCTGAATTGCTGAATTGAGTTTTCTATCAATCAATTCCGATTTTCAGAAGTGTTTCCACTCCATCATTACCCGGTCCATCGAATCTCTCGTCAGTGATGGGCCCACGAATCACCGAGTATCACAGTTACAGTATGCGATCGACAATGCCATTGCACGATCTACAGGGAAAAGAAAGTAATGATGAGCAAAAGCTAGTCAGAAATTAGAACTGAATGACATTATTTTTAAAAAAAGAAGGGTTCTTTATGATTTAGACTCAAGCCATGTAAGCAAAATCTAATTTTGAACGACACCAGTGAAAAGTTATCGATCTTTAGCTCTAATTTGGGATGAGATGCGCAGTTGTGGTCTCTCCGAGTATGTGCAAGTGATGATTGAAGAGGAGATCGATTATGAGGTAGTTGATTCAATTTTTTTGAACCAGAAAGTGTTTGGAAGAATATGGACGATCAAATGGCTTAGAAAAGTGGCAAGAAAAAGATTAGACTCAATGAAATGAATAGCTCTAATCGATTCGCCGATCCCGAAACTGCTGGGTACAAATTCATAGCTGAATCTCTGTGCATCTCTGTGCATCTACAGAAGGATCCCTACGTACTTTGTACTTTGTGCTTCTGACTGATGTTCTTTGCGCGCGCGCACAATCGCTCTCCATCTGGCAGACGCTCCTGATAGATAGGTGTTCCTTTTGGGACCGGTATCTTTCGGGAAAAGTTTTGTTCAGCAAAAGTTTCGTTCAGGAAAAGTTTCTTATTAAACCATTGCTTTACTCTCCATGGCAGAACCCGTATGCTACGCTCTGGGAAAAGTTCTAGCGCTGTCGATGATCTTAACAGAGGAACCTTTAATCTTTCAAGTAAAACGTCCATTGTCGTCCACGCAATCGTGATTGTCCCAAAATCTAGGCATAGTGAGGCCCAAAACGATGGGGCTAATCACATACTGTTCTCTCCATTTACCTGAACCCGTATGCTACGCTCCGTGAAAATTTCTGGCGGTTTTTTTCTAGAGATTCGAGCGATTCCAGAGATTCCAGAGATTCTAGAGATTCCAGAGATTCCAGAGATTCCAGAGAACTCCTGTTCAAATGATTTTGTTATTTAAAAGGAGCAGCAAAACTAGTAGAATGATGCGATCGAAAATTGCCATAATTTTCAGACATTTTTCGCTCTCTCTTGCGAGGATCTCAACAAAATGAACATTCGTGATAAAGAGACGATCGACTCGATAATTGATATACAAAATCGTTTAGAGAAAAAGGGTTATTCGTTTTATAGCTGAATATTAATGCTAGGCATTTATAAAGTTTTTTTATTTGTGTTTTTTATTTGTTTTTTTATTTTTGTTTTTTCCGGGGGTAGTCAAAACAGCGCCATAATAGAAAACGTTCAAAACGGCGCGCCGTCAAATTTCTCACAATCCAAAAAAGCAAGCCGGTTCAAGTTTTATATCGAAAAATTCCTTGCATTCTTGGCTACATGATGGGTAAAATAGTTTTTTTAAAAAAAGTTAATATTTCATAGATAAAAAGAGCACTCTAGAAGATAAAAAGAGCTCAAAATGGGTCGCTAAAGATATTCAGTTAACCAACTGAGTATCACTCGACAGCCAGTTATCAGCCAGTTATCAGCCAGCTATCAGCCAGTTATCAACCAGCTATCAGCCAGCTATCAGCCAGCTATCAGCCAGCTATCAGCCAGTTATCAGCCAGCTATCAGCCAGCTATCAGCCAGCTATCAGCATGAGCCAAGCTCGTTAAAAGCTACTTGGGTAAACGTTAAAAGCTACTTGAAAACTTGAATAGATTTGTCAACCCAACCCAGAAAACCGCTAACAATAAGGATTTGTCTTCTCGAGACTGGCCGCCTCCAATTCTCTTCCAGATTCCTTGCACTTTCTGCTCACCATCCATTCACTTCTGTCTGCCATTTCCCCATGATCAGAAGACTGTTTGCGTATTTGTCTCCTTTCTTTCCCCTCTCCTTTCCCTCTTCTTTCCCTTTTCTTTCCCCTCTTCTTTCCCCTCTTCAAAATGGGTCTCTAAAGATATTCAGTTAACCAACTGAGTATCACTCGACACACATTTTGAACGCCAATTCTATCTATAAAATATTAACTTTTTTAAAAACTGTTTCACCCATCATGTAGCCAAGAATGCAAGGGATTTTTTGATATAAAACTTGAACCGGCTTGGTTTTTTGGATTTTGAGAAATTTGAAATTTGACGGCGCTGTTTTGACTACCCCCCCACAACGAGTACAAATATTTTTGTCTTCAAATCAAAAATCTAAGCACTAACAATTCTTAAATGATGTCCAACTAAGAGAAAAAATGCAAAAAGAGTCGATTTCGACTTGTCAATTTTTTGTTGATAGGTCGAGAAATTTTGTCTTTTGACCTAATCAAAACATCAACGGTGCTGGCCATGGAGTTCACCAACTTTGATACGCCATATCTACAGAAGTACTCGACAGAACCCATAAGTGTTATGTATTCTGAAAGCTCAGGTTGAGCTCTACACGATGGTAGTCGTTTTTCTATATGTTTTCTATTTTATTCAGGTTTTTGCCCTTCTGAACACCAAAGTTGAAACGTAGAAATTTTCAAAGTCACTTTTCATCGCGATACCGTCGTCAAATCGTGCTGAAAGTGTGTTTTTTGGAATCTACGCAAAAAAATTGGCCCAGGAAAGTGGAATTTGAATAATTTCAACTGGGATATCTTAGGAGAATTGATTATGTCAAAAGACAAAATTTCTCGACCTATCAACAAAAAATTGACAAGTCGAAATCGATTCTTTTTGCATTTTTTCTCTTAGTTGGACATCATTTAAGAATTGTTAGTGCTTAGATTTTTGATTTGAAGACAAATGGTTTTTTTTTCAAACTACGTACTCGTTGTGCCCCCCACCCACATCGGCGCGAAAATGCGTTTTCTATAGGATTTTTCTGGGAGTACCTTTTTTAGATGCGGAAAATTGTGCTGATTCCGAATCTGAAGGAATTTTCCAAATCCCTCTGACAGAAATTTTTTAAATTGAGTTTTAGCAGTTTTTTGGTCATTTTGTATGGGAAATTTTGTGGTACCCTGCAGTTTGGAGCTCGTAACTCGACAACGAGGGTCTAGAACCAAAAACGAAGGAGTAGGTCTTATTCTAGAGATTCTTACGAACATTTTGATGCAAAAATCATAAAATTTGCTCAACTCTACAAAAAGTTATAACATCTTTAGAGAAATTTTGCAAAATACACTAAAAACATCAGGGGAAACCGTGGCCGAGTGGTCTAAGGCGCGCGACGTCAATCCAGCGCAAAAGTACGGGGTTGTTGGTTCGACTCTCCCGCGCACTTCAGTCATTATTTTGCATATTCCTTAATTGTTTTGAGTGAATACGATACATAGCTACATTGTTCTTTTGAACAAAACAATTGTGCAATAGAGAATTTTTTAAATTTTCTCATTTCTTCTTTAAAAAATGTTATAACTTTTTGTAGAGTTGAGCAAATTTTATGATTTTTGCATCAAAATATTCGTAAGAATCTCTAGAATAAGACCTACTCCTTCGTTTTTGGTTCTAGACCCTCGTTGTCGAGTTACGAGCTCCAAACTGCAGGGTACCACAAAATTTCCCATACAAAATGACCAAAAAACTGCTAAAACTCAATTTAAAAAATTTCTGTCAGAGGGATTTGGAAAATTCCTTCAGATTCGGAATCAGCACAATTTTCCGCATCTAAAAAAGGTACTCCCAGAAAAATCCTATAGAAAACGCATTTTTGCCTTATTTCGCGCCGATGTGCCCTCCCCCTCCCCGTTTTTCTTTAGCTTTTTCTTCTTTTGGTCACTTTCTCTCTTTCTCGCTTTTTAACGGGTTTACAAAATCAAATTTCCTTTTGCATTTTGATGAATCTTTTATTGGCAAAAAAACGAATCAAGAAAATAGCACGTACAGAATGAAAATTAAAGTAAACACTGGTTTTTATGTTTTTCTTTTTTGTTTTTTTGAATGATCATGCATTTTCGATGGTCACCCCGTCAGCAATGATTGAGGAAGTGTTGTTGTTTCGCTGAAAAATCTTTTCTTCATTTGTTGATCTGTTTTTAAAATTTGATTTTTTAGGATCACAAAATAAGGAACGCATCACCATCATCGAGTTGCACAAGCGTGGCTTCAGCAAACCACGATCCAAGCGTGGCTTCAGCAAACCACGATCCAAGCGTGACTTCAGCAAACCACGATTCAAGCGTGGCTTCAGCAAACCACGATCCAAGCGTGGCTTCAAGATTTGTTGTATCCAGACGTTGTACGAGCGATGTAACAAAATGAAGGTCAAACGGACAGTGGATCGTTTTCAAGAGTTGGAGGATGAGTCGGATTCCAGAAATGGAAGGCCACCATGCTCCAGATCACTCCAGATCACTCCAGATCACTCCAGATCACTCCAGGTCACTCCAGAGAACATCAACAAGATCAGGTGCCGAATTCGTCGAAACCCAGAGATATCGATGCCTTGCAAAATCGTTGAAAATTAGCAGAGAACCAGCTCAAACGATTGTTGGGAAGAACATGTTTAGCTACAAATTTGCGGACATTTTTGAATGAAGGTAGCGTCTCGCCAAGGCAAAGAAGATGAAGTGACTGGTTGCCAATGGTTGGCAATGGTCGCCAATGATCGACTGATTGCCAATGATCGTCAATGATCGGCAAAGGTTGGCAATGATCGCCAATGGTCGCCAAGGATCGCCAATAATCGTCAATGATCGTCAATGATCGTCAATGATCGTCAATGATCGCCAATGATCGCCAATGGTCGCCAATGATCGTCAATGATCGGCAATGATCAGCAATGATCGTCAATGATCGCCAATGATTGGCAATGATTGCCTGGTCGCCAATGATCGTTGGAGAAACGTTTTGTTCACGGATGAGAAGCTTTTCACAGTTCAACGTGCTCACAATCGCTAAAATCATCGACAACTCCTAAAGAAGGGTCCACAGCACTTGACTTTGGACAACAAAGGGTTTTCTGTTTTGAGCTGAACATTATTGATTTTCAATCACCTGGTAGAAAACTAAATTGACTGAAACACTCACGAAAACCCAATTGAAGTGCTACCAAAACAAACAAAGTCGTAAAAAAAAGTGCAATGCAATGAAAAATTTGATAAAACCAGCACAAATTTTGTTTTTGAATTTGTATAATTGTTAGAATCTAATGTTAGAATAATTAGAATCTATTGTTTTATTGTTTTAGAATCCTTTTCTAATGAAAAAAGTTTCCCTCACCTCAGCATTTCGCTGTTTCCACAATGTTTTCATTGCCACATATTTCCGGCATCGAATCACAACATAAATGGCTAAACCCTGAGCGGCTGTGAAGAGGATCTGAAAGAGTTTTTGGTTAGTTAGGCTAAGGTGTTAGGCTTAGGCTTAGGTTAGGCTTAGGCTTAGGCTTAGGCTTAGGCTTAGACTCAGGTTTAGGCTTAGGCTCAGGCTCAGGCTCAGGCTCAGGCTCAGGCTCAGGCTCAGGCTTAGGCTCAGGCTCAGGCTTAGGCTTAGGCTTAGGCTTAGGTTAGGCTTAGGCTTAGGCTTAGGCTTAGGCTAAGGTTTAGGCTTGGGCTTAGGCTTAGGCTTAGGAATCAACCGGCTAGCCGTTAACGAATCATCCGTAATGGGTTAGCCATTAACGAATGATTCGGCTGAATTTCGTAAACGGTTACGACATATAAATGGAAAAGCTTATTATTCTCTAATATTAGATTCAAAAATTTACCATTGCTTCTTGAGCAAGAATCGTTTTATTTGTGCTAAGCGTGAGACGATTAAGATCGACGTTGGGTTCACGCGAGGCTTAGGCTCAGGCTTAGGCTCAGGCTCAGGCTCAGGCTTAGGCTCAGGCTTAGGCTCAGGCTCAGGCTCAGGCTTAGGCTCAGGCTCAGGCTCAGGCTTAGGCTCAGGCTCAGGCTTAGGCTCAGGCTCAGGCTTAGGCTCAGGCTCAGGCTCAGGCTTAGGCTTAGGCTAAGGTATCAGACTTAATGTTTTAAACGACTTTACTGGTTTTAAAGTACTTTGTAAGCTGTACTTTTATTTTAAAGCACTTTAATTTGTAGCTTTTCTTACAAGTTGTATGCTAAATACTAGCCTGAAACAATGTCCATCCGAGATCCCAGCGAACATTCCCGAAAAGTTTCTGATGAAAGTCGAAAATGGCGGCGATGATTGTGATGACTGTGAAGATGACATTTAGCATGAAATTTGTACAGTAAAAGATCAAGAA